ATTGACCATATAAGGTCATGACCATATATGGTAAACGATAGCGCCAAGGATCACCTGAACTGTGATTACAAAACCGCGGCACCGGGGATCTGTCATTCAGTGGTGAGAGCGCGGCCGGCCCTCGGGTCATCATCGAATCGCTAGGTGACGCAATGAACAAAAAATCGACATCAGTGGACATTACTGACACGACAGGGCCCTTAGATTGTACGCTCCTCGGGGGCGGGGACTGATGTGAATGTATAATATATATGTAAAGCGCTGCATAAACTGACGGCGCTATACAAGTACCTGAAATAAATAATGTGGCCCTATACTCACTCCCTGGTGGGGGGGATGGATATTTGCCCCCCCCCTCCCCTTATGATAAAGGGGGATTCCACATTGCTCCCTTAAGTCCCCCCCAAATAAACCCCACATCTCTTTTGGGGGACCATAGGTTGGGGAGGAGAGCCTCCAGCCAGGTATTCCTCAATGTTGATAAAGGATGTGGCCTATGGCAATAATAAAAGTGGGGGAGGGGAGGGGGGGTGCATGCTCGCTACCCTTCCATTGGCGGCCACCATGGCTACATAACTGGATAAGGGTCTAGGGAAGAACAGGACACAATCCACCGCACACCAACACGGCCCGAGTGCAGGATCAGGGAACATGGCTTCAGCCCGGCTCCAGGCCACGCCATGACATGGTTTTCCCCACCCACAGGGTGTACCCCATGATGCAGCCCAAGAGTGGAAGTCACCTTTTGGACGTCTTTCTAGAGCAGGGATCAACAAACTGCAGCCCGAGGGCCAGGTATGGGCCTTTGCTTCCCTTTATCCTATCCGGCCCTTAGGGCACTATTCCTCCCACTGACACCAATGATGGGGCACTATTCCTCCCACTGACACCAATGATGGGACACTATTCCTCCCACTGACACCAATGATGGGGCACTATTCCTCCCACTGACACCAATGATGGGACACTATTCCTCCCACTGATACCAATGATGGGGCACTATTCCTCCCACTGATACCAATGATGGGGCACTATTCCTCCCACTGACACCAATGATGGGGCACTATTCCTCCCACTGATACCAATGATGGGGCACTATTCCTCCCACTGACACCAATGATGGGACACTATTCCTCCCACTGACACCAATGATGGGGCACTATTCCTCCCACTGACACCAATGATGGGGTACTATTCCTCCCACTGACATCAATGATGGGACACTATTCATCCCACTGACACCAATGATGGGGCACTATTCCTCCCACTGACACCAATGATGGGGCAACACATTTTTACCCTTCTCCTAATTGTGTCCCCAGTGATACCCCCCCTTCCCCTCAAATCCTACCCCCAGCAAAAACCCCATCCCCAAAACAATCCCTCCTCCCAGCACAAATCCTCTCCCCCAATTACCCCCCTTCTCAGCACAAATCTTCATCTCTCTACCACAAACCCCCTCCCAGCATAAATATTCTCCCCCCCACCACAAATTCTCACCCCCCAATCACCCCTTCCAACACAAATGCTCTCCCCCAAAAACTCCCTTCTCAGTACAAATCTTTATCCCCCTAGCACAAACCCCCTCCCCCAAAAAAATCCCTCCTCCCAGCATAAATCTTCTCCTCCCCAAATTCCCCCTCCCATCACGAATCCCCCCCATGTTCCCCTTACTACAACAAATTTTTACCCTCCTCCTAATTGTGTCCCCAGTGATGTCCCCCCTTCCCCTCAAATCCACCCCCCCCCTCCAAAATCACCCTCAGCAAAAATCTTCCGTCCCCAAATCCCACTAGGGGGCTCCTCTTCTTCTTCACACGCCAGAGCTGCTTTGGTAGACCTTACTGGGGGCACGTGCCCTGGGTGTCCGGAGCCAGCAATGCCATTGGCTGCTTAACCTCCGCCCCCCACACACACATTTCTGTCTGCTGGGACAGGAGCTGTCTAGGGGTGAGGTGGCCCCTGAGGAAGGGGAGGAGTTCCGACCAATAAAACGTGTTCCTTTGTTTATAATGTTTTCTGTGTAATCTTACATGGGACTCTGGAATCTCGGATCCATGCAGATTGTTATTTCCCTGCTGGAAATTTTCCCTCACTTTCCGTCTGCTAAAGCCATTGTCACTGGGGAAAGTGAGGGACACAAAACAAAAAAAAAGGAAAAATAAAGGAAAGGAACAAAAAGGGAAAAAAAAGGAAGAGAAAAAGGGGGGGGGGGAAAATGGAAAGAAAAAAGAGAAAAAAAGTGTTGAATTGATATATACATTAAAGCAAGCAATATGGCCGGATATAAAACCATAGCGGCTTCCTATCATGGCGCAAAGAGGAGGAGCCAAGAGTGTTGGCGGGGAACCCGAGAAGAGGAGGGAGGAGGAAAGAGTGCCGTCAGTGGCCCCGAGGAGAGCAGGAGCAGGGCCACACAGTACAGAGCAGGTAAAACACATCATGTTTGTTATTTTAAAAAAATACAGTTTTGACTTTACAGTCACTTTACTTCTTTCTTGTGAAGAACGGATGTTCAGGGAAGCAGAACTGAAAGAGCAGGAGCTAAGAGCATTGAAAGTTGTAAATTGTAAGGGCTGGAGTGGTTTAATACCACTTTACACATGAAGAGCGATGCTCAGTGCTGTGCTGATTGGAAATGACTTACATGTAAAGAAAAAAGAAAAAAGGGAAAAAAAGCAAAGGAAAAAAAAAAAAAAGAAAAAAAATGGAAAGAAAAAGGAACAAAAAGGAAAAGAAGAGGGGAAAAGGGGGAAAAAAGGAAAAAAAAAAAAAGAAAGAAAAGAAAGAAAAAAAATGGAAAGAAAAAGAAAAAAATGGTAAGCAAAAAGGAAAAAAAAACAAAAGGAAAAAAAAAAAGGAAAAGAAGGAAAAGAAGAGAAAAAAAGAAAAAAATGGAAAGAAAAAAAAAAGAAAAAAAAGCAAAGGAAAAAAAAAAGAAAAAAAAAATGGAAAGAAAAAGGAACAAAAAAAAGAGAAAAAAATGGAGAAAGGGGAAAAAAAGACGAAAGAAAGAAAAAAAAAAAAGGAAAAAAAAAAATGGAAAGAAAAAAGGAAAAAAAACCAAAAGGAACAAAAAGGAAAAGAAGAGAAAAAAAGAAAAAAAAAGGAAAGAAAAAAGGAAAAAAAAAGCAAAGGAAAAAAAAAAGAAAAAAAAAATGGAAAGAAAAAGGAACAAAAAAGAGAAAAAAATGGAGAAAGGGGAAAAAAAGACGAAAGAAAGAAAAAAAAAAAGGGAAAAAAAAAAAAAAAAAGAAAAAAGGAAAAAAAAGCAAAGGAAAAGAAAAAGAAAAAAAATGGAAAGAAAAAGGAACAAAAAGGGAAAAAAGAAGAGGGGAAAAAGGAAAAAAAAGCAAAGGAAAAAAAAATGGAAAGAAAATTGGAAAAAAAAACAAAAGGAAATTAAAAGGAAAAGAAAAAGGAACAAAAAGGAAAAAAAAGGAAAAGAGGAAAAAGGGGGAAAAAGGGAAAAAAAAGAGGAAAGAAAGAAAAAAAAGGGAAAAAAAAAAAGTGTTGAATTGATATATACATTAAAGCAAGCAATATGGCCGGATATAAAACCATAGCGGCTTCCTATCATGGCGCAAAGAGGAGGAGCCAAGAGTGCTGGCGGGGAACCCGAGGAAAGCAGGAGCAGCAGGCAGGTAAAGCACATCATGTTTGGTATTTAAAAAAAAACAGTTTTGACTTTACAGTCACTTTACTTCTTTCTTGTGAAGAACAGAAGTTCAGGGAAGCAGAACTGAAAGAGCAGGAGCCAAGAGCATTGAAAGTTGTAAATTGTAAGGGCTGGAGTCAGAATTCTGAGGAATGTTTTGTTTTCATTGAACTCAATGTGGTAACCTAAACAATGCTGAGGGTGTAATACTACTTTAAACATATTAAGGACGCTGCTCAGTGCTGTGCTGATTGGAACTGACTTGCATGTAAATAAATAAAAAATAAGCAAAGGAAAAGAAAAAGGGAAAAACAGGAAAAAAAAAAAAAAAAGAAAAAAACAGGAAAAACAGGAAAATAACAGAAAAGGAAAAAGGAAAAAAAAAAACAGGAAAAGAAAAAGGAAAAAAAAAACCAGGAAACCAAAGAGGAAAAGAAAAAGGAAAAAAAGGGAAAGAAAAAGGAAAAAGAAAAAAAGGAAAAAAAAAAAAAAAAGCTAAAGAAAAAAGGAAAATAAAAGGAAAAGGAAAAGAAAAAAAAAAGGAAAAAAAAAGGAAAAGGAAAAGAAAAAAAGGAAAAGAAAAGAAAAAAAAAAGGAAAAGAAAAAGAAAAAAAAAAGGAAAAGAAAAAAAAAAAAAAAGAAAAAAAAAGGAAAAGAAAAAAACCAAAAAAGAGATAAAAAAGAGAAAAAAAAAAAGGAGAAAAAAAGGGAAAAAGAAAAAAAAAAGAAAAAAGGGAGAAAAAAGGAGAAAAAAAAGAAAAAAAAAAAAGGGAAAAAAAAGGGAGAAAAAAAGAACACAGAAAAAAAAGAAAATAGAGAAAAAAAAAAATTGGGGGGGGGGGGGAAGAAAGCAAAAAAAGGAAAAAAAGAGGAAAGAAAAAGAAAATACATAACAAAAGAAAATAAACAGAAAAGGGGGGGGGGGGGGGGGGACAGGAAAAAAAAACGAAAAAACCCAGAAAAAAAAAAAATAAAATGGAAAAAAAAAAAAAAAAATCTCCAGCTTACTCTTTTCATCATACCTAGAACACAGCAGATTGTAGGTTGTGGTGTGTGTATGGTGTCATGTGTAGGGGAAGTCGGGGAATCTTTTTAGGGATCCTCGATGAAACATTTTCTCTCAGATTTGGACCTCGGTTAGAATTCGGAGTTGCGATTTTATTTTTAGCACTCCGTTTCCAGCCCCCCAATCATACGGCTCCTTTTGGGGAGGGGTAAGAACAGGGGGTTTTGTCTTCTTTGGTTTCCCTTTATTCGCTGCCTGGCAAAACGTTTTCACAACTTCCAATCAGATGATCCAAGTCAAACCCCTCCCACCAAGTCAAACCCCTCCCCCAAACTCTCACCTGAAGCCCACCAACCTGCAGACCGCGTCATACACGGGAGTGGCCACCTCCCTCGCCCCCTCCGCCCCTCGATTTAACACCTCCCTCAAGAACCCCCTATCAGCCCTGAGTCTCTGGATCTCTTCCCGAATTGGCGTCAGTTTCTCGATAACCGCCTCCGCCGCCACCATCTTGTACCGCGCCGTCTCCAGCCCGCGGTTCTGGACCACGATGTCCTCTGGGGTCAGCCCCGTCACGGCGCTGTGAATGGCCACTAGGTTGGAGACTCCCGGGCGGCCCTCTGGGTCGTAGGTCACCTCGGAGGTGAAGTCCGTGACCGCCTTGCGGAACTTGAGCGCGATTTCGTCCGGCGAGTCCGTCAGGCGCACGGTCGCCAGGTTCTGGGGGTCTGATTTGGACATCTTGGCCGAGGGGTCTCGAAGCGAACAGATCTTCTTGGAAGTGGCTGTAAAGTGGCGAGAAACAACAGATGAGATATAGCAGCAAGGACTGCCCCTAGGGTCAACTGGCTTCCTACAATGGGAAAGGGAGTTCCATCTCTCTCATCCATTGAGGGACAGAAGATACCTTCAGGCTATACTGCCACCTACAGGAGGATTGCACACCTACAAACAAGTCCGGCCCAGGACAACCCCTCCCACTACCAGCATGTCCCAGTCCTAGGAGGAAGGACGTCTTCCCTTCAATCAAGACTCTTCATTGCTGCAAAAGCTAGTCTCTACAATGGCAGTGGCCTTTCTGGAGCACCATATCTGGACCCGGCCACCATGGACGTTGCCCATATAGCCTACAAGTGACCTACATCCATTGGGTTACCTACAAGATGCTCCCCAACCCCCATTCTGGTTCGCAATAGAGTGCTTCCTAGGTCCAGGGCCGTTGACTTGGCCTCGGTGCTTGCCCTGTCTTCGAGACTCACACTGTTGGGCTGAGCACCAGGAGCCACCTCCTTAGTTGGACCACTGAGTACATTTAACCGTCTGCTTCCTTCTAGTTGCTAATGCAACTTTGAGGAACTGACACCATCGGTTGGAATGGTCTCTTTCCCACCATTCCATGACAAGGAAGTCCTCGCTGCTGCTGCTGCTCCTCCTCTACTGCAAGGGGCCACATGGAACGTTCATCTTCAGGCCATTCTTGTTGCCCACTTATGTGGTCACCTCAGGCCTTCTGATCCTCACCTGCTACCAGCAGTTGGGTTTCATGACTACCTAAGGCGTGGCCTGGCCATTCTTGTTTCCCACTTATGTGGTCACCTCAGGCCTTCTGATCCTCACCTGCTACCAGCAGATGGGTTTCATGACTACCTAAGGCCTGGCCATTCTTGTTGCCCACTTATGTGGTCACCTCAGGCCTTCTGATCCTCACCTGCTACCAGCAGTTGGATTTCATGACTACCTAAGGCCTGGCCATTCTTGTTGCCCACTTATGTGGTCACCTCAGGCCTTCTGATCCTCACCTGCTACCAGCAGTTGGATTTCATGACTACCTAAGGCCTGGCCATTCTTGTTGCCCACTTATGTGGTCACCTCAGGCCTTCTGATCCTCACCTGCTACCAGCAGTTGAGTTTCATGACTACCTAAGGCCTAGCCTTGTCACCTGAACCAGGTGCTTTACCACCTCAGACCAGATTCTACTCACAGAGGGAACCGGTCCTCCTGTCCTGGGTGCACCAGCTTACTCTCTACTCATGGCTCCGGTGCTGCTACTAATGTGGGCGTGGTCTACAGCCTGCAACCATGGTGCCCTTTGCTTCTAGTCTATCAAGTCTTCATGGGTTTGGCCAGTTCCTCGAAGTTTCTACAGTCGGTGGTCCAAATCGGTCAGTTATTTGCCGACTCTGAGCGCTAAGCCACAAGTGGATTTTTTTTATCTGACCTGCTCGAGGTCTCGGTGGCCACCCAACCCTCAGCCGCTGCCAATCCAGTCCTTGCCGAATTAGGAGATGAAGTCTTCTGCTCCTAAATTTAAAGAGACTGTCTCGGCTCTTAGTAATGCAGTGAAAAAAAAAAAAGGGGGTTCAGCCTATTGCTTCTACCAGTGATGGTCCCAGTCATGGGTCCTTCAGAGTCCTCAAGACCACTAGGACTTTCCTGGTGAACTCGCTGTTCCAGGTCTTCCCCTATGGCAGGGGTGTCCAAACGATGGCCCTCCAGCTGTGGAAGTACTACAACTCCCATCATGCCTCTGGATGTCTTGCCTGTGGGTGTCAGAGTCTTTGCAAGGCCTCATGGGACTTGTAGTTCCTCAACACCTGGAGGCCCTAGAGAATAAACTGGAGGGTTTTGCATTTTTTTATGTAAAGAAATTTTTCTAACGCAATGTTTTTTGGAAAAAAAAAAAAAAAAAAACTTTCTAAATTTTAATGCAAAAAAAAAAAAATACTAAACCCAATTTTTTTTTGTAAAATATAAAAGATGATGTGACTCTGAGTGAATAGATACCAAACATGTCACGATTTAAAATTGCGCACGGACGTGCAGCGGCAACAAACAACGTAAATTTTATATATATACACACACACACACAATTTTATTTTAATTATATATTTTTTTTATTTTTTAGCAGAGGCCCTAGAGAATAAACTGGAGGGTTTTGCATTTTTTTTTTTAAAGTAACACACCAGTTTTTCTAACGCAATTTTTTTTTTTTTAAAATAATTTTTTTTATTTTAATGCAAAAAACAATACTAAACCCAATTTTTTTTTTTGCAAAACATAAAAGATGATGTTACTGTGAGTGAATAGATACCAAACATGTCACGCTTTAAAATTGCGCACAGACGTGCAGCGGGAACAAATTACATTTTATATATATTTTATTTTAATTATTGATTTTTATTTTTTATTTAGCAGAGGCCGTAGAGAATAAACTGGGGGGTTTTGCATTTTTTTATGTAACACGGCAGTATTCCTAACGCAATTTTTTTTGTAAATTATAAAAGATGATGTTACTCTGAGTGAATAGATACCAAACATGTCACGCTTTAAAATTGCGCACGGATGTGCAGCGGCAACAAACAACATAAATTTTACATATATGTTGTTTAAATTATTTATTTTTCTCTTTTTTTAATTTTCTTTTTTTTTTTTTTTTTAGCAGAGGCCCTAGAGAAAAAACTGGAGGGTTTTGCATTTTTTTTTCTGCAACACGGCAGTTTTGCGAACGCTATTTTTTTGGGGGGAAAAAAATACACTTTTTAAAATTTTATTGCAAAAAAAAACAATACTAAACCCAATTTTTTTTGTAAACTATAAAAGATGATGTTACTCTGAGTGAATAGATACCAAACATGTCACGCTTGCGCACGGACGTGCAGCGGCAACAAACAACGTAAATATTATATATATTTTATTTTAATTATTTTTATTTTTTTCATTATCTTTTTTCTTTTTTTTTTTTTAGCAGAGGCCCTAGAGAATAAACTGGAGGGTTTTGCATTTTTTTATGTAACACAGCAATTTTTCTAACGCAATGTTTTTTGGGAAAAAAAATACACTTTTTAACTGTAATGTAAAAAAAAATACTAAACCCAATTTTTTTTTCTAAAATATAAAAGATGATGTTACTGTGAGTGAATAGATACCAAACATGTCACGCTTTAAAATTTTGCACGGAAGAAGTGCAGCGGCAACAAACAACATACATTTTATATATATATATATTTTTTTATTATTATTTTCATTTATTTAACCACTTGCCTACCGGGCACTTCTACCCCCTTCCTTACCAGGCCAATTTTCAGCTTTCAGCGCTGCCGCACTTTGATTGACAATTGCGCCGTCATGCAACATTGTACCCATATGAAATTTTGATCATTTTTTTCTCACAAATAGAGCTTTCTTTTGGTGGTATTTAATCCCCGCTGGGCGCTTTACTTTTTGCGCTATAAATTAAAAAAAGTGCAAAAAATTTGAAAAAAAAAAAAAGTTTATTTGTTTCTTTTATAAAATTTTTCAAACAGGTATTTTTTCTTCTTCACTGATTTGCGTTGATGAGGCGGCACTGATGGGCACTGATAGGCGGCACTGATGGGCACTGATAGGCAGCACTAAAGGGCACTGATAGGCAGTACTAATGAGGTGGCACGGATAGGCGGCACTGATAGGTGACACTGATTATGGGTACTGATAGACGGCACTGACTGGCATCACTTCTGGGCACTGAGTGGCGGCACTGACTGGCACAACCCCTGGGCACTGACTGGTGGCACTGACTGGCACAACCCCTGGGCACTGACTGGTGGCACTGACTGGCAGCACTGCTGGGCTGCACTGGTGGGCGGCACTGGTGGGCACCACTGGTGGGTGGGCACAGGTGGGGGGCACTGGTGGGCACAGGTGGGTGGCACTGGTGGGCACAGGTGGGTGGCACTGGTGGGTGGCACTGCTGGCACATGTAGGTGGCACTTCTGGGCACAGGTAGGTGGCACTGCAGAGTGGCACAGGTGGGGGCACTGCTGGGCACAGGTGGGGGCACTGCTGGGCATGGGTGGGCGGGGCTAGTGGGCGCACTGCTGGGAGGAACTTGCGGGTGTCACTGCTGGGCACCGATCATCAGGGCACTGATCATCAGTGCCCTGATGATCGGTGCCGATCCCCGCTCTGACAACTGCCGGTTCTCGGCAGTACTTTCCTCACGATCTGACAGCGTGAGGAAAGTGCAACCGAGAACCGGCACTTGCATTTTCCTGTGATCAGCGTGTCATTGGACACCGCTGATCACGTGGTAAAAGGCCGGTGGGATCGGCCTTTCACCACATCTCGTGATCAGCTGTGTCCGTAGGACACAGCGATCACGGAGATCGCCGGGTGCGCGCCCCCTGGGGCGCGCAGGAGAGCGCGTTCTGGGAGGACGTCAAATGACGTCCACCCAGAACTAGCCGGCCGCAGTGCAGCCGTCATTCCGCTATGCGCGGTCGGCAAGTGGTTAAGCAGAGGCCCTAAAGAATAAACTGGAGGGTTTTGCATTTTTTTTTTTTTTTTTTTAAGTAACACGGCAGTTTTTCTGACGCAATTTTTTTTGGGGAAAAAAATACACTTTTTAATTTTAATGCAAAAAAAAAACCAATACTTGACAAATTGCGTTGACAAATGTAAAGTCTTCACAGGTCACCGCCGTAGATTTAGAGTCGCTCTGGTGTTGGAATTTCTCCCCGTGATCTGACGTTCTCGGCGCTGCATCACGTGTGTGTGGACCGTCGCATGCGTTCGCCTGCCGCGGGGACGGAGCTGCTTTCAAAAAATGTCTTAAATTATTTTAAGGCCCCTCTCACACCCGGGCCCCGGGCGTTCCGTGTGTCCGCGTTCCGTGTGTCCGCGTTCCGTGTGTCCGTTTACAGATGAGAAACGGAGCCCCGTGTATTTCTGCGGACTTGCGGCTGTAAACGGATGAACATCTGTTTACATCCAATAAT